GGGGGAGACATATGTAATACTCTTTGTAATACTTTAAGCAATAAAACAAAATTTTTTAAATATATTTTATTGATTTTTTACAGAGAGGAAGGGAGAGAGACGGAGAGCTAGAAACATCGATGAGAGAGAAACATCGATAAGCTGCCTCCTGCACAGCCCCTATTGGGGATGTGCCCGCAACCGAGGCACATGCCCTTGGCCGGGATCGAACCTGGGACCCTTCAGTCTGCAGGCTGATGCTCTATCCACTGAGCCAAACCGGTCAGGGCTAAAACAAAATTTAAAAAAAAAGAAGGTGCCTAACTGGCATAGAGATCTGGAGAGAGAGAGAGAGAGAGAGAGAGAGAGAAAGAAAGAGAGAAAACATCCCCATCATGTGGTGTGGCTACAAAGTGGCTATCAAGCCCAGGAAAGTTAAGGCAAAATCAGTTGTCTTCCCCGAAAAAAGAACCTCTGTACTATGATATTTCTGCCAAAAGTAACTACCACTTTGCAAAGTCCTTCCTCTGGCTTGCTAGAAAGCTAACTGGAGAACCTAATTGGGAGTTTGGCGCCATGCCTGCTCTTGCCCCTCCAGAGGTTGTCCGGGACCCAGCGCTGGCAGCACATTATGAGCATGACCCAGAGGTTGCCCAGACCACTGCTTTCCCGGACGAGGATGATGGCCTGGGAGGAAGGGAAGCTGGAGCCCAGCGTCAGAAGCCTAGTTTCACAGTCACCTTCCTGTGATGTCAGTGTTTGCCCCTTTATTATGGAGCCTGTGCTTGACCTTTAGGATGCTGAAGGAGATGAATGGGCTTCGGAGTGAATGTGGCAGTTTAAAAATACCTTCATTTTTTGGACCTGCACATTTAGCTGTTGGAATGCAGTTGTTTCCTTATTGAGCTTCAAATATAAAAGTGCTGCAGTCACATCACAATATTCAGTGGCAAAGCCTTGTACATTACTGTCATTCTCATTCCTTTTCGTTTAGAATCAGAATTAAGTTGTATTTCAAGTATCTAAAAAAAAAAAAGTCTTTGCTGTCAGAAGTCAGGGGAATGACCTCTTTGGAGAGTCAGGAAGTGAGTGGGAGGGGGTCAACGGGAAGGTGGAGGGTGGAGCGATCATGTTCTGTTTCTTGGTCTGGGTGCTCCTAACGTAGTGTGTTCCACTCGGGAAAATTCATCCAACATCACACTTATTCATTTTTCAGGATATGTGTTGTACTTGAATAAACATTTAAAACATAAAGAGAAAGGGAAGAGGAAAGGACAAAGAAGAAAGTAAAAGCCATAATGGTTTTAAGTATCCATAGTATTGAGGGAAGATTTCCCCCTGACCCTCCAAAGTCACCACCCAAAGTAGTCACACTGCCGAGTTTAGTGTGTGTCCATGTGACAGCCTGTTGACTTTGAAAGGGGTCCCCTCGCTGAGGAACATCGAGAACGTGTTGGTGAAACCACCCCCACTGCCCCTACTTGGGAGCTGCCCCAGAACCTGCAGAGCAGGCAGCACAGCCGCCACTCACCTTCAGACCTGCCTCACCCAGTTACGCATTCCATAAAGAAACCTCCTCCCTGGATAAGAGCCTGGGCAGGTTCGTGCCCCCTGGACAGGGCAGCACCGCGCTGATGCGCTCCCTCGGTGACCCTAGTTCACGACTTAGCACATTGCTTATTTGGTTCTCACAATAGCCCTATGATTCCCCTTTTTACATCTAAGGACACTGAAGGTCACACCCTTAATGAATATGTGGCAAAGGCAGGGCTTGAAACCTGATCTGAAAGGGGAAGGAAGGGCGAGTAAATGTGTACAGATGGGAGGGGTGGGCAGACACTGTGGCAGCCTCATTATCCCCTCATTTACCAGTGAGGCTCCTGCCTTTAGTTGCATGTTCCCTGCCCACTCCGTCCACCCTCTGTGGTGGAGTGGGGCTCAGATCTGGAGACTTCAGCCTCGTGGGTTCCTTGATCTTGAGCAAGTCACTTTAGATCGATTAACTTTCCAGACCTATAAATTAAGGGAGGGAACTTCACATCTCAGAGCGGCTCTCTTGCTCTGATCATCTAAGGCAGGGGTGGGGAATGTCCAGCCCACAGGCCGTAGAGGGCCCTTGAAATCATTTGGTCTGGCCCTGCCAAGGCAACCGCAGGCGGGACTTGAAGGTCAATAAATCTAGGAGCTTTTTTTCATAACACAAAGTTATATTAAGTGAATTATATTAAGCGAATGACGTTATAAATATCCAAATGGCCGTTGGCAGAAAAAAGGTTCCCCAACCCTGGTCTAAAAGGATGAGGACCAGGCACAACGGTTATGACAAACTGAGAGTAAATGCCTCGCTATGGAAGATGAAACCCCAATTGGAAAAGAAGTTGAGAACATTTCTCTAGGGAGAGAGGAGTAAGGTGCCTCGCCAGCCAGCCCAGCTTACCTTCCTTGTCCCATTGATATTCACACATGAGAGTCAGTCCTTCCAAAGGTCAGGAGGATATTGTTTCCCCTTCCAGAGAGAGGAGGTGAACCCTGGCAGGATTTCCTGATGCCGAAGATGTCAACTCAGGAACTGGCATGCATGAAACACCTGATACTAACTGTGAGACTGTGGGTCACAGTAAGTCACTTACCGCCCCCCCCCCCCCATCAGAGCCAAATGTTTAAAAAGGGAATAAGAATAGTTCCCACTTCAGGGTCTCTGTAAGGATTAACAGAAGTGACGACAGCACCAAGCTTCACCTGGAACACCCATTCTCAATGGCACACTCAAGAGGGCAAAAGATGGATCTTGGGAAGCAAAAGAAATCTACTCTTTTATGTATGAAGCCTAGATACATACAGTGCATAAACAAATATATAGTATATCTGCAGTATTAAGATTTCACTGGAGTTCGCACAAAAATGTATGCACGAAGAGCCCTCAGACATTGCTGGCGGGAATGTAAGATGGTGCAGCCACTGGGGAAAATAATTTGACAGTTCCTCACTAATTAAACAAAACATACCACATGACCCAGCAATTGCATCCTAGGTATATACCCAAGAGAACTGAAGACATGTTTCAAACAAAAATGTGTAAATGAGTGTTTATATCAGCATTATTCACAATAGCAGGAAGGTGGCAACAACTCAAATGTCCATCAACAATGAGTGGATGAAGTGTGAATCATCCACACAATGGAATATTATTCAACCATAAAAAGGAATGAAGTATTGATTCATGCTGCGGCATAGATGAACCTTGAAAACATTATGTTGACAATATCTCAAACTCTTTCTTTCCAACTTGGGCCCAGCATAATGGCGTCCGCAAAACAGAGTGGCGAGAAGAAGAGGCCACTCGCCCACCAATGAGGTGGTGACCAGAGAATACACCATCAACATTCACAAGCGCATCCATGGAGTGGGTTTCAAGTGCCCCTCGGACACTCAAAGAGATCTGAAAATCTGCCATGAAGATGGGAGCTCCAGAATTACACATTGACACTGGGCTCAACAAAGTGATCTGGGCCAAAGGAATAAGGAATGTCCCATACCATACCCCGTGCGGTTGTCCACAGCACGTAATGAGGATGCAGATTGACCAAGCAAGTTCTATACATTGGTTACCTACATACCTGTCACCACTTCCATAAATCTGCAAACAGTTAATGTGGATGAAAACTAACTGCTGATTGTCAAATAAGGTTATAAAACTACCCCAAAAAGAGAACGTTATGCTACA